TTTTTTTTTTTTTTTTTGCTGTCCTCTGTTGAGGCGCGCAGACTGACCGGGGTAAAATCCACAGAAATGAGCCTTTCACTTGGGCATGGGGTGAGAATGTTTTCTTTTTGAGTCTTTTTCGGATCCCAGGCCCCAGATTCTCAAGACCCATTTTTGTCTATGGTTTGAAACGCCGGGCTCGGTGCTGTACGTGAGTTTCAACAACAATCCCCGTGGCAGTCCGTCCAGGAAGTGTTACCCGGCCCCGGGCGCTTTCGCAGCCCTGGGCGTGCGCGAGCCAAATCGCCTGCACCGACAATGTGCACGGCGTCACGTGACACGGCGCCGGACCCTTGCTGCCCCATGTCGGAGTAAGATGGCAAACCTGTTTTTTTCCAGGACCGGTAGTATGAAAGCGGAATTCCTGGCAGTATATACTTGAGCTGACACTTGTACATCAAACAACCCGCTTGCTTGCGCAGCGAGTGGCTGGCGCAGTGTGCAGGTTGTCACGTTGGGACCGTGATAACGTAATGGTCCCAGCCGTGTCTGTTGACAGTTCTGCGCAGCTTGAGAAGAACACTTCTAAGAAGCAAAGCGCCGGAGCTCCTTGTTGAGCGAGGAGCAGAGCTATATATTCTACAGTCTTCCAATCAGTCTTGTAGGTAGTCGTCCCAATAATCAGTAAACCAATCAGTAAACCAACGACAAGACCAGCCTCTAGACCAGCCTCTAGACCAGCATCAAGACGAGCCTCTAGACCAGCCCATAGACCAGCATCAAGACCAGCCACAGGTGACCCGGCAAAGCAGCCGATGCACCAACCATATGGCCAATTGCTAAGCCAGCCAGTACAACATCCTGTGGCCCGCCGCATGCGTTCGCCGTGCTCAGGCGAGGTCCATGTCCTCCTCAGGCTGCAACTTGAAAACGGCTTGCCGGGGCAATGAGGCCGGGGCCCTATGTCCATCGTCCAGATGGAGCTGGCTCGTGACGGCGCATTGCAGCGCACACGCCACGCCTCGGCGGGCGGAACACAGGGGCTCTAGGCGCCAATCTTGCCCGCGTCGCTCTTGTCTAGCGTGTGCTTGAGCTCGATAGCCGAGATCTCGGAGTCCTCGGGCGCGGAGCTGCCGACGCGCGACTCGGTCTTCACGGCCTTGCCCAGCTTGATGCCTTCGATCAAGCACAGCCACTTTTCCAAGAGCTCGGTGCACTTCTCATGTAGTCGGAAGCTGTCCGGGTACTCCAAGTCGCCGTCCTTGACAATGCACTTCAACACCTTGTGGATCTTGGTGTCGCGCAACAAGTCCACCGTCACGGGGAAGTCCGCGAGCTTCTGCAAGATGATCCGCGCCATCAGGAGCTCGTCCACCGAGGGCGGCGGGAAGCTCTTGGGGTCCTTCGGCGTCACCGGCTGGTTGCGCTGGATCAACGAGCGCTGGAGCTTGATGCGGCAGAGCCAGAGCTGGTGCTGGCGGTCGCTTTCGCTCATGGCCTTGGTCCTGGGCGAGCCGGCGCGTTTCTTGGGCGCCGGCTGCTCGGACACGGCGGCCTTGTCCTCGGCCGCAGCATCGTCGCTGGACGCGGCGCCCGCAGATGGCTTCTGGCGGCCGGCACGTGCTCGTTTGCGGGCCTGCGCGGTGCTTGCTTGGGGCTGCGGGGCGGGCAGGCCGCCAGCACTGGCGTCCGCGCGGCCGTTGGTGGGAAGTGCCGAGCCGTCAGCAGCCGAGCGTGGCGACCGTCTGCGGGAACGCGCGGGGTCCTGGGCCACGCCGGCGTTCTGCGGGCCGGAGCTCTCTGGCTCCAGGAGGGACGGCATGCTGGGGTCGCCGTTCTCGGAGACGCGAGCGGCAGGCAGTCCATCTTTGTGGGGCCCGTCTTTGGAGGCCCCGTCTTTGGGGGCCCCGTCATTATTCGCGTCGTCTTCATGGGCCCCGTCGTCATGGGCCCCGTCGTCATGGGCCCCGTTTTCATGGCCGTCGAGCGCGGTCTCGTCTTTTTGGCCCTCGCTGTTGTCGGCGTCTTCAGCCAGAACGTCCGCATCCGGCAGGGCCTCCTCGGACACACGGCCGCCGTCGTCAGCGCCGTCGGGACCGTCGTCAAGCGCCGCCTTGGCGCTTGCCAAGTCGGCCATGAACGCGTCGAACTGCAAGCCGCTGGCGGCCACGAGCGCCTCCACGACGTTGCTCGTCCGCGCGGACTTTTTCTTGGCCTTGGTCTTCAACTTGTCCTTGGGGATCTTGTCGATCTTGGCGCGGAGCTTCTCCGGAGACAAGACCTCGAGCGACTTCTCGTTCATCCAGTTGAAGTCCCCGTCGGGGATGAAGATCACGCACGTGTTGGTGGTTTTTTTCTTGGCCTTCAAGATGGCCTCGGGCACCATGTCCGGCGGCATGACGAAGGACGGCCACGCGGGGAACCCGGTCATCTTGGCCAACACCATGTCTTTCGGCTGGAACAGCGGCCGCTTGTCGGGTTTCGGCGCCATTTCGCCGCGGGTTTCGCCGGGGGGAGCCAGGGGGTTCTGCCGGGTCTTGCCGGGTTCGTTCTTGCGTTTCGGCGCTGGGGATTCGCGTCGGGGCGCTGGCTTTGGGGGCCGCAGGCAGCTGGGGCGGGGCCAGATACAAACTACCGCGCAACCTCACGGGCGGCTCTGTTTGTGGACGGGCAGAAGTCGGGCGACAGGGGCGCAGGCTGCAGGACGCAAGAAAACGCAGAAGCTGGGAGGGGCCGTGGTTCGGCGGGTGGGGTCGGGGGGTGTTTAGATGTGCGGTTGGAGCGAACAACAAGCGGCGCTGGCGCCGCGAGAAAGTCGGGGAAGGCCGGTCACGTGACGCGCAGGCCGGCCGGCGCCGCCCGGCTGCACCCCGGCAGAGTGGCTCGCGGGAACCTTGCGGCACGTGCCGAGCAGGCACCGGGGACCCAAAGACGGACGCCCGCCGGGAAAATCCATGTAAAACGGCGACATGGTGGTTCCCCCTCCGCGCCTGCTTTATGGCGGGCGAGCGTCGCGCCCGGGCCGATGTGCGAATGCCTTGCGCAGGCCGCCCTGGAGGCGGCGCCCGAGAAACGCGCGGCCCGCGTGCCAGAGCTGTGGGGCCAGGCGCCCTGGAGACCTGAGCTTTCTGAAAACGGATGGTGCTTTGTTTTTTTTTTTTTTTTTTTTTTTTTTTTTTTTT